CTGGGACTTGGGAAGCAGGGAGGGTTTGACAAGAGGCTGGGCTGCGTCTTTCACCCCTCTGGGTCCCTGCCCCTCCCCTAGTCCAGAGCCCTGAGGGACATGGCAGCTTCTGGGGCACTCTGGACCTGGGGGCTGATTGCTGCCTTCCCGCAGGGGGCCTGCTGACCGGGAGGTACAAGTATGAGGACAAGGATGGGAAACAGCCCGTGGGCCGCTTCTTTGGGACGACATGGGCAGAGTTGTACAGGAATCGGTGAGCAGGGGGTGCCTGGTGAGGACGGTGAGCAGGGGGTGCCTGGTGAGGACGGTGAGCAGGGGGTGCCTGGTGAGGATGGCTACGGTGGGGTCTGCTTTATGTGGAAAGAAGTCCTGGGCTGCTCCTGGTGAGGCCTTTCCTCACCGCCGCACCTCCTCCCCTGCATTCCTTCAGGAATTCCCAAACCCTCCGTGGGTTTTCTTGTTGTCTTTTGAGACCTCCAGGAGTAATTGAGGCTCTCTGGACTTTGAGGTCTTGAAGTTGTAGCTCTTTCCTGAAAAATCACATGCTAGGAAGGAAAGAGCAAGCCCTGGAGGGAGGTCTGCTCCATCTGAGTGGCCCTTGTGTCCCTAGGGAAAGTAAGTTCAGGCTGATGAGTCCTCAGGAGTAAAGATGCGTTGAGGTCTCTGGTGAGGGGGCTGGCATCCCGGGTGGTTCTGGTGCCCAGTGAAGTGGGAGACCTATGCCTAGAGAGGACACCCGCTCCTCAGGACCACAAGGTGTTGGGTGGGGCAGTGGCCCTGGTTGGCTCTTTGGTTGTGGCTCCCAGTGTGACCCCCATGGTACTGAGCCCTGTGCCACTGTCCCCCCTTCCCAGCTACTGGAAGGAGCACCGCTTCGAGGCCATTGCCCTGGTGGAGAAGGCCCTGCAGGCCGCGTATGGCGCCCGCGCCCCCAGCATGACCTCGGCTGCCCTCCGGTGGATGTACCACCACTCACAGCTGCAGGTAGGCAGCGACCTGGGTGCTCGGCTTCTGCCCTTCCAGGGGGACCTTCCAGGGACATACCTTTAGGTGAAGGCCAAAGCATTTGTTTTCTTGATTCCTCAGAAAATTCTCTTTCTTCCAACTGTAACAAATGCTGTTCCCACTGGTCTTTTTCTATTTTTTATTTTTTTGGAGACAGAGTCTCCCTCTGTCACCCAGGCTGGAGTACAGTGCTGCAGTCTTGGGTCACTGCAACTTCTGCTTCCTGGGATCAAGCGGTTCTCCTGCCTCAGCCTCCTGAGTAGCTGGGATTACAGGCATGCACCACCACACCCAGCTAATTTTTTGTATTTGTAATAGAGATGGGTTTCACCATGTTGCCCAGGCTGGTCTCGAACTCCTAAGCTCAGATAATTTGATTTGTCCTCCTCAGACTCTGGAAGTGCTGGGGTTACAAGTGTGAGCCACTGTGCTTGGCTTTCCCACTGGTCTTTGATTGTATCTGAGTGTTAGGATTTGTTTTTTTTAATTTAATTAATTATTATTATTATTATTATTTTTGTCTAAACATTCCATAATGCAGGAGGGTCAGGATTTGTAATGAGGGCTTCAGTACAGGGATTTCCTTACTCCTTAGGCTTCACAAAATATGATTATCCCCGTGTTATTGATGAGGAAACTGAGGTTCACCCAGCTATTAAAGGGGCAGACATTTTAACACAGTTTGAGGGTAAAGCCCACTCGTCTCATTTTTTTGGTGGAAGCTGGAGTTTCCCTCTCTTGGTGCCTCATGCCTTCCTCATTCAAATTTACATCCAGCTCCAGCCTTAGATGTTGGCTAGTGTCAGGCATATATACAGTAGGTGATCAATAAATGGGTGCTAAGTGCTCTACATAATTTTTTGCACCCATAACCATGTTGAAAATAGAGAAGAGGTTGCGAACATTTTCTCCCATTCTGTAGGCTGCCTGTTCAATCTGGCGATAGTTTCTTTTGCAGTGCAGAAGCTCTTATGTCTAATTCGATCCCATTTGTCTATTTTGCTTGTTGCCATTGCTTTCAGTATTTTAGTTATGAAGTCCTGCCCCATGCCTATGTCCTGAATGATACTGCCTACGTTTTCTTCTAGGGTTTTTATGGTTTTAGGGCTTATGTTTAAGTCTTTAATCCATGTTGAGTTAATTTTTGTATAAGGTGTAAGGAAGGGATCCAGTTTCAGCTTTCTGCATATGGCTAGCCAGTTTTGCAATCTATTCATCTGACAAAGGGCGAATATCCAGAATCTACATAGAAATTAAACAATTTTACAAGAAGAACACAAACGACCCTATCAAAAAGTAGGCAAAGGATATGAACAGGCACTTCTCAAAAGAGGACATTTATACAGCCAGCAAACATGAAAAAAAGCTCATCATCACACTGTGGAAGACAGTGTGGTGATTCCTCAAGATCTAGAACTAGAAATACCATTGGACCCAGCAGTCCCATTACTGTGTATATATCCAAAGGATTATAAGTCGTTCTACTATGAAGACACATGCACATGTGTGTCCATTGTGGTACTGTTTACAATAGCAAAGACTTGGAACCAAACCACATGCCCATCAATGTTAGACTGGATAAAGAAAATGTGGCACACATACACCATGGAATACTGTGCAGCTGTAAAAAAAAAAAGGATGAGTTCATGTCCTTTGCAGTGTCATGGATGATGCGGGAAACTGTCATCCTCGGCAAACTAACACAAGAACAGAAAACCAAACACCGCCTATGCTCACTTGTAAGTGGGAGTTGAACAATGAGAACACATAGACACAGGGAGGGGAACATCACACACCGGGGCCTGTCACGGGTGAGGGGCTAGGGGAGGGATAGCATTAGGAGAAGTACCTCATGTAAATGACGGGTTGATGGGTGCGGCAAACCATCATGGCACGTGTATAGCTATGTAACAAACCTGTACATTCTGCACTGTACTGCAGAACTTAAAAGTATGTAAAATAAGAAAAGAGAAAATAGAGAAGAGGATTGAGTCTCAGAGAGGTTTAATAACATAGTCATGTTTACACAGCTGCTGTGGGCAGAACTGGTCCATGAATGTAGGTCTGCCTGGAAGCGCCCCGTGGCAGCAGGGGAGAGGATACAGGTTTCAAGTCACATGGGTACAGCTATCCAAGCCACCTTAAGTTCTTTCTGGACATATGGGGTATAAATATAAAGAGATACCCCCAAATCTCAGCAGGGAGGTGGCCGGGAGGGGTGTGAGTGGAGTCGCCATGCAGCAGAAGAGGGTTGAAGTCTGGCTGTCTCCCTTGCAGGGTGCCCACGGGGACGCAGTCATCCTGGGCATGTCCAGCCTGGAGCAGCTGGAGCAGAACTTGGCAGCGGCGGAGGAAGGGCCCCTGGAGCCGTCTGTCGTGGACGCCTTTCATCAAGCCTGGCATTTGGTTGCCCACGAATGTCCCAACTACTTCCGCTAGGCCCACTGTGGCTCAGGCTGCCCCAGGCTTTTCTGTCACCTCCTTTGCTGTCTCACACTTTCTCTAATTTAGAACTGCCCCAATAAATTCTTAGGAAAAGAACTATTTGGACAAAGACCTAACAGTAGAGTCACCACCAAATGAATAAAACCTCCCAAGATGCTGTGTGTTAGTCCGCTTGCCTTGCTATAAAAAAAAAATACCTGAGACCAGGTGCAGTGGCCCACCCCTGTAAACCCAGAACTTCGGGAGGCCTAGGTGGACGGATCACCTGAGGTCAGGAGTTCAAGACCAGCCTGGCCAACATGGCAAAACCCTGCCTCAACTAAAAAATACAAAAAATTAGCTGGGCATGGTGGTGGGTGCCTGTAATCCCAGCTATTCAGGAGGACAAGGCAGGAGGGTCGCTTCAATCTAGGAGGCAGAGGTTGCAGTGAGCCGAAATTGTACCACTGCATCGCTACACTGCACTCCAGCCTGGGTAACAGAGCAAGACTCTGTCTCAAAAAAAATGTAAAAATCCCTGAGACTGGGTAATTTATAAAGAAAAGAGGTTTCTTTGGCTCATGGTTCTGCAGTCTCTACAAGGAAGCATGGTGCTGGCCCATGCTCCTGATGAGGGTCTCAGGAAGCTTGCAGTCATGGCAGAAGGGGAGGGAGAGCCAGCATGTCACATGGCGAGAGAGGGAGCAAGAGACAGAGAGGGGATGACATTGCAGGCTCTCTTAAATAACCAGATCCTGTGTGAACTCAGAGCCACAAGTCACTCATTACTGTACAGATGGCACCAAGCCATTCAAGAGGGATCTACCCCCATACCCTAATACCTCCCAGCAGGCCCACCTTTAACTTCAGGGATCACATTTCAACATGAGATCGGGGGGTGGGGATGGTCAAATTATCCAAATGATATCATTGTGCGAGTAGCCCCTCAAATGTCATGTTCTTCTCACACTGTAAAATACAGTCATCCCTTCCCAACAGTCACCCAAAGCCTTAACTTGTTCCAGCGTCAACTCAATCAAAAGTCTGTTGGATGAGCCCCCTGTGGCAAGATGGCTAGCGAGGGTACCCTTTCTACAGTCCAGGAAGTAAAAATTGTGTTGCCAAAAGATCCTTTGTCTCAGTACTAATTTTTCTTTGCGGCACTGAGCTTCTGTTTCCAACACATCGGCACCCCAGATGGGGACCCCCATTCCCTTCTGGCGTGGTCTCCACCTGAGACCCACCTGGTGCAAAAAATAAATTAACCTGGTCTCTCAGCAAAGTGGGAAAAAAGAAAAGCTTCAAGCTTTGGTAGAAATTCTAAAGTTTAAGTGTGCATGCGAGAGAGCAGTGTGAGGGTTTCCTCTCTGCAAGATCTGTGATAGTTTCATAATGCCTAGAGGTTGGAGAGAGCACAGCAAAAGTGAAGAGGAGTGAGAGAGACCTCCCAAAGGGCGGTGGGGGGCATAGTTGGAATCCTCCCCTGGAAAAAGAAAGGCAAAGGTAGCCGAGAAGGTGCCGGAGGAGCCCCAGTAAAGGCCCCCTGAGGCGGCCACAGTGGTGCCTGCAGCTGGGCCAGCTGCACGTTGGGGCCCAGGGAGACAAGGTCGCAGGTGCACAGGGGCCGGGCCGCTCTGAGTGGCAGCGCGCCCAGGTGGCGCCCCTGAAAAGCGCTGGGGGGCTGCCCAGGGCTAAGCAGAAAGCAGCGTGGTGGAGATCGTCCGCGAGGCTGCTGGACATGGCCAGGGGTGCCGCAAAGGCAGCAGGAGGGGCCGGGACAGGCTGGCTGAGCAATGGCCGCAGCAGCAGCAAGACGGTCCCCGAAGCCCTGTGCCGGGAACCTTGTGGGGCAGAGGGGCACAGCACCCCCTGCCTGGCTGCCTGCACCCTGAGGAGGCCCCCGCGCACAAGAAAACCAGCAGCAAGAGCAGCCCAAAGCAAACCCCGCTCCGGCCAGCAAAATGTGGAGAAAGCAAGCTGAGGTATGTTGAAAAATTGTAAGAGAGAGTGTGTGTAAAACAGAGAGAGAGAAAGAGTTGTTGTTGTTGTTGTTGTTTTTTAAAGGCTTTTTCTTTTGAAACTCAGGCAAAACAACTAAGCCAAAACATGTTAAAAAAAAAAAAAGTTTAATGAGGAAAATTATAAAGTAAAAGAGGAGGGAATTGTGGGAAGTATAAAAGTTCCTCTTTAAAGTTTTCTTTGCGGGGCGCTGTGGCTCACGCCTGTAATCCCAGCTCTTAGGGAGGCAGAGGCGGGAGGATAGCTTGAGCCCAGGAGTTCGAGACCTGCCTGGGCAATATAGCGAGACCCCGTTCTCCACAAAAAGGAAAAAAACAAAAAAGACAAAAAAAAAAAAAAAGTTTTCTTTCTTTCTAAAGAATAAATCATAAGTGTGCTAATAACTCTTTGTTAATTTAAGCCCTATCCTATGGAGCTGTTAGACATGCCGTGCTTACAGGCACATAGTATATTCTACGTCCTTGTACTTTAACCAAGATATCTGTGCTGGGAGTGCTCACAGGCATGTCCCAGATCTCCGTGGCTTTTACCTGTTTAGAAAAGTTTTAAGTTGTTAGCCAATCGGGTTTTAGTTTAAATTGTGACGTCTGGCTCTAGCCAGCCAAGATCAGACACAGCAGTAAGGACGACCCCAGATGTGTAAGGAATAAATATGTGTGTTTCCCTTTGTTCATTGTACTTTCATGGCAAGTTTGCTAGCAAGGGTACCCTTCCTGCAGTCCAGGAAGTAAATATTGCATTGCTGAAAGATCTTTTGTCTCAGTGCTGATTTTTCTTTTTTCTTTTTCTTTTCTTTCTTTCTTTCTTTCTTTTTTTTTTTTTTGAGACTGAGTTTCGCTCTTGTTACCCAGGCTGGAGTGCAATGGCGCGATCTCAGCTCACCGCAACCTCCGCCTCCTGGGTTCAGGCAATTCTCCTGCCTCAGCCTTCTGAGTAGCTGGGATTACAGGCACGCGCCACCATGCCCAGCTAATTTTTGTATTTTTAGTAGAGACGGGGTTTCATCATGTTCACCAGGATGGTCTCGATCTCTTGACCTTGTGATCCACCTGCCTCGGCCTCCCAAAGTGCTGGGATTACAGGCTTGAGCCACGGCGCCCGGCACTAATTTTTCTTTGTGGCACCAACTGTCTGTTTCCAACAAGTTCAAAGTCTCATCCGAGACTCAAGGCAAGTTTCTTCCCCCTATGAACCTGTATAATCAAAACCAAATTATTTACTCCCAAGATACAATGGTGGCACCCATATTGGGTATCATTCCCATTGCAAAAGGGAGAAATCGGCCAAAAGAAAGGGGCAACAGGCCCACACAAGTCTGAAACCCAGGAGGGCAGACATGAAAATGTAAAGCTCCAGAATCATCCTTGACTCCACGTCCCACATCCTGGCCGCAGCAGTGCAAGCAATGGGCTTCCAAGTCCTCAGGCAGCCCACATATGTGGCTTTGCAGGATGCAGCCCCTATGGCTGCCCTCACTGGCTGGAGTTGAGTGCCTGTGGCTTTTTCAGTCTCTGGGTACAAACTGCTGGTGGCTCTATAATTCTGGGGTCTGGAGAATGGAGGCTCTTTTCCCACAGCTCCACTGGGCAGCGCCCTACTGGGGACTCTGGCTGGGGGGCTCCAACCTCATATTTCTCCCTGGCGTTGCCCTAGTAGAGTCTGTGAGGGCTGTCCTGAGATCCTCTGAAATGCCTTTGACCCCCTTTTCCCCATCATCTTGGCTATTAGCACGTAACTCCCTTTTAGTCATGCTCATCTCTCTTGCTCATCTCTCTACAGCCCACTTGAATTCCTCTCCGGAAAACACTCTTTCCTTCTTCATGACATGGTCAGGCTGTAATTTTCCAAGCTTTTATACTCTGCTTCCCTTTTAATTATAAATCTATCTTTATGTCATTCCTTTGCTGCCATATCTGACTGTAGGCTTTTAGAAACAACCATGCCACATCCTGAATCCCTTGTAGTCTAGAAATTTCTCCCACCAAAAATTTCTTTCTCCCACCAGAAATTTCTACATCATCATTCTTTTTCTGAGACGGAGTTTCGCTCTTATTACCCAGGCTGGAGTGCAATGGCGCGATCTCGGCTCACCGCAACCTCCGCCTCCTGGGTTCAGGCAATTCTCCTGCCTCAGCCTCCTGAGTAGCTGGGATTACAGGCACGTGCCACCATGCCCAGCTAATTTTTTGTATTTTTTAGTAGAGATGGGTTTCACTATGTTGACCAGGATGGTCTCGATCTCTTGGCCTCGTGATCCACCCGCCTCAGCCTCCCAAAGTGCTGGGATTACAGGCTTGAGCCACCGCGCCCGGCCCTACATCATCATTCTTAAGCTAAACCTTCCATAAACCCCTTGGACAAGAACTCAATGCAGCCATATTCTTTGCTAAGGCATTACGTGGTTGACTTTTGGTCTAGTTCCCAATAAATTCCCCATTTCCATTTGAGACCTCCTCAGCCTGTCCTTCACTGTCTGTATTTCTTTTTCTTTTTTCTTTTCTTTTCTTTTTTTTTTTGAGAAGGAGTCTCGCCTTGTTGCCCAGGCTGGAGTGCAATGGCACAGTCTCGGCTCATTGCAACCTCTACCTCCTGGGTTCAAACGATTCTCCTGCCTCAACTTCCTCAGCAGTTGGGATTACAGGCACCTGCAACCACACCCAGCTACTTTTTGTATTTTCAATAGAGATGGGATTTCACCATGTTGGCCAGGCTGCTCTCAAACTTCTGACCTCATGATCTGCCTGCCTCAGCCTCGCAGTGCTGGGATTACAGGCGTGAGCTACCAGGCCCAGCCTCATTGTCTGTATTTCTATTAGCATTTTGGTCACAAGTACTTAACAAGTCTCTAAGAAGTTCCAAACTTTCCCTAACCTTTCTGTCATCTTCTGAGCCCTCCAACCTCTTCTAACCTTTGCCCGTTTCCCAGTTCTAAAGCTGCTTACAACCTGCATTTTCAGTTATTGTTACCGTAATGCTGCACTCCTCCATACCAATGTCCTGTGTTCGCCCATTTATGTTACTATAAAGGAAAACCAGAGCCTGGGTAATTTATAAAGAAAGGAGATTTTGGCCGGGCGCGGTGGCTCAAGCCTGTAATCCCAGCACTTTGGGAGGCCGAGGCGGGTGGATCACGAGGTCAGGAGATCGAGACCATCCTGGTGAACATGGTGAAACCCCGTCTCTACTAAAAATACAAAACATTAGCTGGGCATGGTGGCGCGTGCCTGTAATCCCAGCTACTCAGGAGGCTGAGGCAGGAGAATTGCCTGAACCCAGGAGGCGGAGGTTGCGGTGAGCCGAGATCGCACCATTGCACTCCAGCCTGGGTAACAAGAGCGAAACTCCGTCTCAAAAAAAAAAAAAAAAAAAAAAAAAGAAAGAAAGAAAGGAGATTTCTTTGGCTCACAGTTCTGCTGGCTGTACAAAAAGCATGATGCCAGCATCTATTTCTAGGGAGGCCCTCAGGAAGTTTACAATCTTGGTGGACTGGCAAAAAGGGAGCGGACGCGTCACATGGCAAGAGAGGGAGCAAGAGGGAGGGAGATGGTGCCAGGTTCTTTTAAACAACCAGGTCTCCTGTGAACTAAGAGAAGGAGAATTTATTATCATGAGGACAGTACCAAGCCATTCATGAGGGATCCGCCCCAGTGACCCAGATACCTCCCACAAGGCCCACTTCCAACACTGGAGGTCACATTTCAACATGAGATTTGAAGGGGAGAAAACATCCAAGCCCCATCAGTGTGAAACTTTTTTTTTTTATTTTTTATTTTTGAGACGAAGTCTTGCTCTGTTGCCCAATCTAGAGTGCAACAGCACAATCTTAGCTCACTCCAACTTCCGCCTCCCGGGTGCAAGAAATTCTCCTGCCTCAGCCTCTTGAGTAGCTGGGATTATAGGCACATGGTATCAAGCCTCGCTAATTTTTGTATTTTGAGTAGAGACAGGGGTTTTATCATGTTGGCCAGGCTGGTCTCGAACTCCTGTACTCAGGTGATCCAACCGCCTCAGCCTCCCAGAGTGCTGGGATCACAGGCGTGAGCCACCACGCCGGCCCAGTGTGGAACGTTTTTACCACTCTCGATCTCAGCAGTGGTTTTCCTCTTGTCTTAGCTAAAGCCTTCTGTCTTTTCATCCATAACCTCCTCAGCGGTGGTTCTGGGCCTCTTTTTGTTGGGTGTGGGGGCAAGGGCAATGGGGTCCACATTTTCCTCACCCCTACTCCAAACAGGAGGCACTCAAGTCTTGAGAAGAAAATGCGCAGGTTTCGTGGTTGCTGTGTGACTATTGCAGCAAAATCCCTCCAGCCCTGGGCAGGGCAGCAGGCAGCACTTAGAGCAGCCCCTGAAGGTGATGAAAGGGGCCCAACTTGGAAATGTAGATAACACCACTAATCCAAAAGCCTGACCCAAAAAAGATTCCATTTGCTGACCAGAGGGAGACATCTGCAGACAAAATTTATTCTTTATGAAAAGAAATTACCCCCTCATTGTTTTTTATCCATATAACATAGATACTCCCTGATGTAGGATGGCCTGTCAGTTACCTTTCGACAAAAAAGCACACCCAAAATTGAGTTGCTTAATATGACAGAATCTCCCAAGTTGATGAGGAAATTCAACACAATCTCTGTCCATCCAAATTCCAGCTGTTATTTTGTTGTTGTTGTTCTGAGATGGAGTCTGTCTCCCAGGCCAGACTACAGTGGGGGGATCTTTGCTCACTGCAACCTCCACCTCTCAGGTTCAAGTGGTTCTCCTGCCTCAGCCTCCCGAGTAGCTGGAATTGCAGTCATGTGTCACCATGCCCAGCTAATTTTTTGTATTTTTAGTAGAGATGGGGTTTCTCCATGTTGGTCAGGCTGGTCTTGAATTGCTGACTTCATCAGGTGATCTGCCCGCCTTGGCACCCCAGACTGTTGGGATTAACAGGTGTGAGCCACCGCGCTCGGCGGAAATAAACTCTTCACACTGGGAGCAATGATCCTGAGTGGTCAAGTAGAGATGAGCCCCAGGAGTTGCTGAGACTCTTGAGTATCCCCATCAGGGCCGTATTCCCTGCCGTCACATCCCATCTGTTAGAATCTTCTGGATACTGTATCTCAAAATAGTTTATGGCCACTTGAATTCAGCCATTTCAAATATTTTTTTCTCTTTTTTCCCACTCCACCTCCTCCCCCAGTCATTTCATATTGAAAGAGCTTCTTCAAGAGACAATTCCCAAACAGCACCTTGAGTATATGTAGAATTTGTATTTGTTAATTTAAAAACAAGTGAGGATAAACAAAAATAAACTTGAAGGAGCAGAGCTGGATCTGGAACATCTCTCTCTCTCTCTCTCTTTTTGTTTTTGGAGACGGAGTGTTGCTCTGTCACCAGGCTGGAGTACAGCTCTGTCACTAAGCTGGAGTGCAGTGGGGCAATCTCGGCTCACTGCAACCTCCGCCTTCTGCATTCAAGCAATTCTCCTGCCTCAGCCTCCCAAGTAGCTGGGACTACAGCTGCACGCCACCACACCTCGATAATTTTTTGTATTTTAGTAGAGACAGGGTTTCACCATGTTGCCCAGACTAGTGTTGAACTCTTGAGCTCACGTAATCCGCCCATCTCAGCCTCTCAAAGTGCTAGAATTACAGGCATGAGCCACTGTACCCAGGCACGTCTAATATATTTAATCATTCTCAAACTAAGGAAACTGGTCTGTGCTGTATAAAAGACTGGAGAAGGAGGTGGTAGAGATTTTGCACATGGGAATTCACAAGGAGGGGAGCTCCTGAAACTTCATGCTGCAGAGAGGGCCACGAGCTGCCGCACTTGCTTCGTTTCTAACCTGCTTGTTCCCAGTGACTGGGTTGGTTGGCATTGCCAGTGTCTCATATTTGGCCATTCTGAATATATTTCAGAAGCCACAGGAAAGTAAGAGTGCTAGGTTCCATAATGGCTTATGAACAAGTACATTTCTGCTGCCTGGACTTTTAATTTTTCTTTTTCTTTTGAGATGGAGTCTTGCTCTGCCATCCAGGCTGGAGTACAGTGGTGCAATCTCAGCTCACTGCAACCTCTGCCTCCCAGGTTCAAGCAATTCTCCTGCCTCAGCTTCTGGGACTACAGGCATGTGCCACCATGCCTGGCTAATTTTTTTTGTATACAGTTAGTGCTCGACTTACGACCACGATTGGATCCAACAGACCGGTCGTAACACGATTTGGTCGTAAGTTGAGTAGGCTATATGTACAGTACTGTGAAATGATGTTAAAAAAATCTTTAAGTCATATTTTATCATAATTTTTTTATTAGTTATATATCATAATTTTCTTTGTTCATTTTATGCCATTTGTATCATCTCTACACCATTTTGTTTCTTATTTTTACATTCGTCAGGTTTAAGTAAAACACTGCATTACCAGTACAACTGGTTTAATATTTGCAAAACATACAAAATTACAAAATACAGGTGCATACAAAAATACAAAATAGAGGTGTAAAAAATACCATAGGAAACATTTTCCCAATTGCAAAACATATCAAAATATATAAACAGGAACGAAACATTTTATTGGCTGCTGGTGCTTGGCTGCGGATCGTTGATGTCGTCATCTGAGGCAGCAGTTGGGGTTACTGGAGTTGGTTTTTTCATAAACATGGTGAGCTTTGTCTGAATTGTATGTTTCCTTTTTTCTTCACAAATTTCACGATATGGACGAAACACATCGTGCGCCATCCGTTCAATCCTTGCAAATCGTTCGATGTTTGGGTCCATTGCTTCGAAATGTGTAAGTTTATTCAGTAAAGATAAACCTCTGATAATCCCTTAGTGGTGAACTTTCTTTCTGGCTCCTCCTCTTCTTTCTCTGCTTCTCTTCTTTCTTCTTCCGCCACTCTTTCTTCTTCCAGTTCGATTAGCTCTTCATTTGTAAGTTCATCAACATTGAAAATCTGTTCTGCTAGATATCCCTCATCTGTAATTAGTTCATCCAGACTATCAACAAACTTATGTGCTCCTTCCTCATACTTTACCTCAGCACTCACTGCTTCTCCAGTCACTTGAACACTATGCATTTGGAATCTTTTCTTGAATCTCTGGAACCAGCCAGTGCTTGCTACAAAGTCTTGACTGTAATCTTCTCCAGCACGCTCCTTCAGAGTCTGAAATAAGACTTCTCGCCTTCATCTGCACAGTAAAAAGACTTAATGGTGTCCGTTTTTGAATTTGATCTTCCATCCAAATATATAGCAATTTCTCCATTTTGTGGAAGGGCCCGCTTCGTTGCTTTGTTATAACTGTTGATCGCATGGGTGCAGAACCTTTCACAGCTCCACGAATTCTTTATCTTTCAAAATTGTCGACACAGTCGAGTGTGGTAACTTTGTATCACGTGCGATCACATTCACTTTCTTTCCTCCTTCGTACTGCTTAATTACCTTCATTTTCGTGTCGAGATCGATGGCCTTTCTTTCCTTCTTGGCAGGCTGAGGCGTAGACAAAGACAATTTCCTCTTGGTATACATCTTGGGAGGGGTTTGATGAAAAATATCCAAGACATAAAACACAAATTGCTGTGCCGAGTCTGGGATAACAGTTGAAATGGTGCACGCGGAGATGGTAGTGCTGCCAGAAGCTGGTCCGCACTGTCGGACGCCCAGCTGGGCAATGTTTGCGCTGCCAGACGCTGAACAGTCATGGCTAGCGATTGTGGTCGTAAAGTCGAATGGTCGTAAGTTGCATAGGTCATGAGTCGATCAATACCTGTATATATATTTTAAGTAGAGACAGGTTTCACCATGTTAGTCAAGATGGTCTTGATCTCCTGACCTCGTGATCTGCCTGCCTCAGCCTCCCAAAGTGCTGGGATTACAGGCATGAGCCACCATGCCCAGCCAGATTTTTAATTTAATAAGGCTGTTTTTACCATGGCATTTGTAAGTGTATGTCCACTGCAGAAACAAATTTCTATCCTCAATGTTGAGCTTTATTAGCTGAATTTGAAACAACATTCAGAACAGTTAGATGCTGCTTTTTTTTTTTTTAACAGATGAGGTTTCACCATGTTGGCCAGGCTGGTCTCGAACTCCTGCGATCCACTCGCCTTGGCTTCCCAAAGTGCTGGGATTACAGGCATGAGACACTGCGCCCAGCCTAGGTACTTTACCTCTGACAGAATAGTTCCAAAAGCTTTCTTCTGATTCCATGAATTGGATGGAAAGCAGTTTATATATACAAACTGGGAGCCACCACATCCACTTTATGTTTTAAATTTTGAAAAATTCATCAGAGTGGTATGTGCCCGTGGTTAAAAGCTGATGCTTTCCGAGTCTCATTCCTCAGAGGCAACTTTTAGAAATTCTTGCAGCTTTCTTTCCTCTAGCAGTTAACTGCTGCGTTATCTCTAAAGTATACACTTGGCTGGGAGCGGTGGCTCACGCTTATCATCCCAACACTTTGGGATACAAAGGGGGATTGCTTGAGCCCAGGAGTTTGAGACTGGCCTGGGCAAGACAGTGACACTGTCTCTACAAAAAAAAAAAAAAAAAAAAGAAAAAGAAAAAGAAAAACTAGCCCTGCATGGTGTCATGCGCCTGTAGTTCCAGTCTTGGGAGGCCAAGGCAGGAGGATTGCTTGAGCTCAGGAGTTTGGCCTGGGTATCAACGCAAGACCCTCATCTCTTCTTTAAAAAAAGCTACACCCGCCGGGCGTGGTGGCTCAAGCCTGTAATCCCAGCACTTTGGGAGGCCGAGGCGGGTGGATCACGAGGTCAAGAGATCGAGACCATCCTGGTCAACATGGTGAAACCCCGTCTCTACTAAAAATACAAAAAATCAGGTGGGCATGGTAGCGCGTGCCTGTAATCCCAGCTACTCAGGAGGCTGAGGCAGGAGAATTGCCTGAACCCAGGAGGCGGAGGTTGCGGTGAGCCGAGATCGCGCCACTGCACTCCAGCCTGGGTAACAAGAGCGAAACTCCGTCTCAAAAAAAAAAAAAAAAAAAAAAAAAAGCTACACCCTTTATCACTATTCCTTAATATATCAAATTTAGATGTTGTGGGCTGCTGGAAAGCTCCAAATCTTTCTAGATTTACAAAAGCTGCATCTGCAAGGTTAATTTTTGTGCACAATGTGATTTATTCCCCTTCTTTTTGTTTTCTCCCCCTGAAAGGCAGAAGCAAGCCAAGCTACATGCAAGTGGGGCCAGTGCTAGTTTTGTGGAAATGGCCAAGGACTTAGGCAGCGGCGTCCAATTTGGGTTCACCTTATGTGCACTGCTGTGATTTAAATCCTTATGTGGCACTACCCCCAAGTGTTTCTGATAATCCTGGTCAGGTTGAGGAACCACTGTCCTAAGCAGAGGTTTGTCAAGCTTTTCACACTGTAGGGCCCAGGCTACAGCCCTGGAGACTCAAGGCCTGATGGGCTTCATCCCATCTGTTCCTTACAACATGCAAAGCTGGCCAGGCCCCTTACCGCCTTTCTACTTGGCATGTGGCTCATGGGGCTGGCATGGGGCTTTTCCTTTCCTCACTAAGCAGGTGAGGGCAGGTGGCTCAGCTAAGGCCACAGAGCCAGAATTGAAGATCAGGGCTCGTGTCCCCTAGGGTACACAGTTGTGTTGTAGGCGCTCGGGGTCCTAAGGTGGTGGGGTGTTTGACACCGGTGAAAAGGTTAAATGCTAGGGTTTTTTTGAAATGGAATCTCACTCTGTTCCCCAGGATGGTGTGCAGGAGCTCCATCACCACTCCCTGCAGCCTGGACCTCCCAGACTCAAGATAATCTTACTGCAGCAGCCTCCAGAGCAATTGGGACTAGAGGTTCTCATCCCTCCTTGGCCTCCCAAAGTGCTGGGACTACAGGTGTGGCCATCATAGCTGGCCAAATGCAAGGATTCCTGCCCACTGCCTCCCCTCTACCCGCCCAAGAACATGGATGAGGGGCCCAGAAGTCTGCATATATTCTGATGCTCAGATAAGTTAAGATGTCAGCTTAGAAGCCATTAGCCCCTCAGTGCTTCAGGGACCTGGGTATCGGCAACCACCCAGGGATGACCCCAAGTACTGACCTCTGTGCCATTCCCTCTCCCCACCCAGCTTCTGGAAGGAGCACCACTAGGTTGTGTATAGCACCAGTGCCCCAGCATGACCTTGGCTGCCCTGCAATGGAAGGAACACTCACAAGCTGCAGGTAGCCCGGCTGTCTCTAGATGCTCAGCTGCTTCTCTCCAATTTTGCAGGGGTGTGGGGAATGGGGAAGCTGTGAGGACTATACAGTCATTTGGTCATTTCTGAGATAAGTCCTTTTCTTCCTATGAAAGCTCTGCACGGCCCAGTTCTTTTGGGTGGTAAACCTGTTCTTAGATTACTTAAGTGGCCAGGTCACCAACACGTTATTGCAATGGCCCTGTTAAGTATGATCACCTGTTTTACATGAGGAAACTGGCTCAGAGCAATTTCACTTGACTAGGGTCCCACAGCTTACATGTGGCAGGGAATGAATGTGGGTTTGACGAAACTTTTTTCTTTTTTGGGGGACAGGCTCTTCCTCTGTCATCCAGGCTGGAGTGCAGCAGCTTGATCATAGTTCACTGTGACCTTGACTTCCAGGGTTCACAGTGCTCTGCTTCAGTCTCCCGTGTAGCTGGGACCACAGGCATACGCCACCACATGACTAATTTTTCTATTTTTTTGTAGAGATGAGGGTTCTCACTATGTTCCCTGGGCTGTTTTGAGTCCTTGGGCCCAAGCAATCCTCCTACCTCAGCATCCCAAATTGCTGGGATTACAGGTGTGAGGCACTGCTTGAAACCTGTGGTTTTAATCATTAGCCTTTACTGGGTCCCCGGCTGCCCACCCTGGAGACAAGAGTCCAACCCTGTGTGTAGTGGCAGGGCTTCCCTCTGCCTTGCTGTCCCTAACCCCCTTCTCCAGCTTGGGTATTATATGGCTATGGCTCCCCTTTAAGGGAGTACCTATTAAGTGCCAGGCCTGGAGGCAAAGTACTTCACACAATTTCTAATCCAGACAAGCGGCCTGAAAAGTAAAGGAAGTTTGAAGCTGACGGGCTGGGTCACTGACCGGGTTTATCCAGCTGCTAAGCAGAAGTCAGCAGCTCTGAAGCCGGCTCTGTCGGCAGCTGAGACAGCGTGGAGGCAGGGCTTCAGAGCCCAATGGCCACAGCTGTTTGCAGGCAGTAATAGAAAGCATACATGAATAACCAGACCCCAAACAGCGGCGGGGCCATGGCTGGGAGGGGCACGATGAGTCACTGTGCAGAAGTGTGTTGAAGTCTAGCTGTCTCCCTTGCAGGGTGTCTATGGGAACATGGTCATCCTGGTTGGAGCAGCTGGAGAAATTGGCAGCAGCAGAGGAAGGGCCCCTGGAGTCAGCTGTCATGGAGGTGGCTGACCAAGCCTGGCACCTGAACGTCCCACTACTTCCTCTAGGCCTGGCTAGACCTGGCTCAGGTGCAGAGGGCACCACCTGCCACCTTTCATCCTCTCCCCCTGGCCAGTTGTGGCCTTCAGTGGTTTTGGGCTGCTTTCCCCTCAGCCCAGTTTGCAGACTGTCCTCTACCCTCCTGCAGTCCTCCCGGCCACCCTCACGAGGCGGGAAGGCTGGGCCTGAGCTCTCCCTCAGCACTTCCTGCTAAGGCTGGCACTTGGACCTGGCCCAGGGCTGGGTGACCCTGGTGAATTAGTTCCCGCTTCTGCCCGCAGCCCGCTTCTTGCTGTTCTTCCCAAGGGCTTGGTGAGAAGCTGGTAGGAGTATGAAGTCTTCAAAGAGCAGAGGCAGTGAGAGGGTGTCGGTACAATGCCCTTGTGAAGGTTGCCCATACCCTGGGATCTGGCCTGACCTCTCAACAGCAGGGCTGGAGGTGGCTCTCTTCCATGCACGGCAGAGAAGAGGGCTGCCACACACCCTGAAGCCGATTTGCTCTCATTCAAAACTGCCTTCACAAAATACAAACAGAACAATATGGGCTGGGTGCGGTGGCTCACACCTGTAATCCCAGCCCTTCGGGAGGCCAAGGTGGGCAGATCGCTTGAGCTCAGGAGTCTGAGACCAGCCTGGGCAATATGGCAAAACCCCATCCCTATTTAAAATTTAAAAACAGAGGTGGGGGAAGAAAAAACAAAACCAAACAAAAACAAATAGAACAAGGTGGACAAAACCCACCATTAAGTCACCAATACAACCTCCCAGGAGGCCGTGGACCTTCAGACACTGGCTCTCCACTCGCGCCGTGACTCCGCTCGTCTCAGCTCAAGCCTGTCTTCCTGGCATCCACCAGATCTGCAGCCCTGGTGTGGAGGTGTGGAGGGCTGGGAGGACACCTAAATTTCCTCAGCAAATCCTTCTGCCAAGGGGGACCCAGGGCTGAAGAAGAGAAATTCCAGCTCTGGCGTGGAGCTGTGCTGTCCACGGCAGTCCCAAGGCAGCCAGTGGGGGAAGCTGGCTGACAGGGCCAACCACGGCAATCCAAGCGGAGCCAGTGTGACAACCACCCAGGCTGGAGTGCAGTGTCACGATCACGGCTCACTGAGCCTCGGACTCCCACGCTTACACAATTCTCCCACCTCATTCTCCAGAGTAGCGGGGACCACAGGCACGTGCCACCATGCCTAGCTAATTTTTTCATTTTTTTTGGTAGAGACGGGATCTCGCTGAATTGCCCAGGCTGGTTTCAAACTCCTGGGCTCACCAAAGGCCTCTTTTCTAAGAAAGATCCCCCTTGTCTCCAGGGAGACATCCTACAAAGTTTTATTCTTTACAGGAACTCGGTGCCCTGTCCACAGCCAAACAAAAAGCTGCTCTCTAGAGGGGTGGCAGCAGTCCAGCACGGTCCAGTGAGACCCCGAAGGTTCCAGGAGACCTTCAGTCCTGAGTCTCTTTCAGTCACTGTCTCCTGACTCGGAGTCTTCTGCGGACTCGGATACGCTCTCTGGCAAGTCATCTCCCATCTGCTGGAACCTTCCCGACTCTGAGTCCCACATGTATTTGATGGTCACCTTGAATTCAGCCATCTCATACCCAAAAAGCTTCTGCAAGAGACAAAGGTAAGCATCAGGAGGAATGAAGGTATTCAGAAGTTCCGGGGTTGAGTGGTGGCGGGGGTGCCTGCATTCTCAGCAGGCAGAGGAAAGGCAGCGGCCCCTCCTGCCAGGGCCCTCGGGGCCACACTCACCAGGACGCGAGCCTGCTCTGGGGTCAGCACATCGCCCTCCTTGCACACCTCGTAGTCGGACAGCAGGGTCACCACACCTGCAGAGGAGCGGGGTCCCCAGTTACCTCTGGCCCAGGGGCCTGCAGAGCCCTCTCTGTCCCACCAAGTCGGGAGAATTCCAGATGGCCACCTGCCCTCCCCACAGCTTCAACACACACTGGGCAGTGGCTGCCTCTGTGAGGTCCCTTGATTTGCTGCAGCCTCGACCTCCTGGGCTCAAGTGATCCTCTTGCCTCAGCCTCCCATATAGCTAGGACCACAGGCACACACCACCATGGCTAAGTTTTTGATTTTTTTTTTTTAACAGGTGCCAGGCCCCTGATGTCCCTCAAGGGCTGCATTCTGGCTGTAAGTTACTGTCTGCTTTTACCCCAACTGTGAGGCGGGCACTTTTAGCTCCATTTCCACATGAGAAAATGGAGGCTTGTAGAAATAACTTGCTCAGCTAGAAAGGGAAGAGCTTGCAGGCCTGTGCTCTTGGACTCTGGGCTGTGACCTTTTGGCTCCAGGGCTGCCCATACCTCTCTTGAGGGTGGTGGGCAGGCCCAGCTGCCTGAGCTGTGGCTCCATGGAGTGGGAGAACTGCTCCAGGGGCCCTGAGTCCAAGCTCACGGTGAAAGTTGCTCTGTTACCAGCTCGGGCATAGTCCATTTCTGTGTATTTCGTGAACCATCTAAGGGAAAAGAGAAGTGGTAAGAGGGGATGCTCCTGGCTACACCACCAGCCCATGGGTCAGGTTCCCCAAGTGTCCTGTGGTCCTGGGCCTTCTCCCATCACAGAAGCCAGCCAGCCCAGAGCACCGTGCTGGAGAGGGCAGAGATGGCTGTGGTCCCAGGTCACAAGCTCAGTGACAGGCTTCCAGGAGTGGTTCCAACTTAATGCCCCCCACATGGAACCAAGTCCCCTCTCACCCTCCTCTTCCCCTCTGTTCCTCAGGAGTACTTACTCATTCACGTCTTCCTTTGTGCGGTTGGTGAACAGGAGACCCACTTCACCCCTCAACTTTTTGCTGACCTACAAATCAACAGTGAGGCCGGCTTGGTCACATTAGAGTAGTGCTTCTCTATTAGGCACGTTTTTGGTCACCAGGGGACATTTGGCAACATCTAAAGACGTTTCTGATTGTCACAGCAGGAAGGAGTGGGAGGCAGGAAGTGTGCTATTCCCTGGGTTTGGAGGTGAAGGGAGAGCTTTAAGCCAAGATGTGCTCCCCCTGAGCCATGGAGCTGCCAATGGCTGGGGGAGGCTGTCACGTGGGAGTAGCGGGAGAGAAGGCGGCTTTGCCTCAGCCCCTCCCCGTGAGGACTAGTGACTTACCTGGTGCAGGTTGTCTTTGTACTCATCAGATGGGCTCCGACCCAACGCCACCATCATCACCTTGTTTTTGCCAAAGAACATCCTACCGCAAGACAAAGAGCATTCTGTGAAGGAAGGACCCTGCCCTCCCCATCCCTCAGGTACCCGCAAAGCCGCTCTAGTCCCGTGAGCTCAGGCCCAGGCTGAGCCAGTGGCATCCACTTCATGCTGCCTGGCCACACAATCCCCCGCTCAGGGTCCCTTTCATTATGTCCCCACCCACAAACCCCTGACATGGCAACATTTTGTGTCCCAGCCCATCACGAGCATTCTGTACCGGTTCCCTGTCTGGATGTACGAAGGAGGCATGTTAACAGCTGAAGCAGAGCTGGGGTGGCAAGAGACCACCACCAGGGCCACCTGCCCCAGGACAGAAACTTGCCATGTGGTTCCTGCGTCCTGCTCCCCGGTCGCTGTGTTCCAGTGCATGTACTGACATTCTAAAATTTGTGTGATGCTCCTAAACTGTCCAGACTCCAGGGTTAAAGGGCCACTTTTCCTGAAAGGACCACCTCTCAAACATCTCCTGAGCAACTGTCAAGTCCTGCCTCCTAAAGGCTCAGTGCAAGACCTGCTTTTTTTTTTTTTTTTTTGAGATAGAGTCTCATTCTGTCACCCAGGCTGGAGTGCAATGGTGCAGCTCACTGCAATCTCTGTCTCATGGGTTCAAGTGATTCTTCTACCTCAGCCTCCTGAGTAGTTGGGATTACAGGCGTCTGCCACCACACCAGACTAATTTTTGTATTTTTAGTAGAGAAGGGGTTTTGCCATGTTGGACAGGCTGGTCTCAAACTCCTGAGCTCAGGTGATCCGCCTGCCTCAGCCTCCCAAAGTGCTGGGACTATAGGCGTGAGCTACTGCGCCCGGCCCAATACCAGCTTTAACAGTGATAAAGCTCTTCAGTAGCAGGTGGCACTTTGTCCTTACCAAAGTGTCAGCGGCATGACCCAGGCACCTCAAGGGTCAGAAGTTGCTCCTGTGCTTTGACTGAGAGCAGCCTGGTGTCCCCACTCAGAAGGGCCTTTCTCCCCCTGCCCGCTCACCGGCTGTGCTTCCAGGCGTTCCGGATGTCCTTCAGCTTGCTATTCCTCATGTTGGCCACAGAGAAGATGAAAAGGTACTTGTAGGTGTCCACACATTTCCGAAGCTGTGGGACAATTCACGAGGCTCTGAGTTCAAGCAGCAGCATACGATGGGCACTACTCTGACTGCAGATGGGAATGAATCTGCTCTGGGCCCTGGACAACTATGGAAACTGGAAGAACTGGAGGCCTCTCATTTGATTGTCTCCCACCTCCATTACTGAAATTAGGATCGCCAACTACAGGGGAGGCTGGGCCATGGATCTACACCCCACGGCCTTTCCGAGGTCTCTGACTTATCTATGACCAACAGTGGAACTGACCATCAGCTGTTACCCACAGCAGCAAGGCTCCTGCCACATGGAGCCTCCGTGTTACAAGGGGAGGCAGCTCATCAGTACTGCTCTGCACGTGGTGCTGGCCAAAACCACCATGAGGCGGCCTCCAGGAGGGGAGTCTGTGCAGGAGGAGACAGTTTTCACCTAGCCTGCAGCCCAGGTTGGCAGGTCAGAAGCACTACAGGCAATGGGTTGGTGCAGTCTCCTACACGCAGCCATTTTTTTTTTTAAAAGACAGGGCCTCACTCTGTTGCCCAGGCTGCGTACCAACAAGTCCAGCTAGTTTTTCTCTCTTTTCTTTTTGTAGAGATGAGGTTTTGCCATGTTGCCCAGCACGGTCTTAAACTCCTTGACTCAAGCTATCTGATCACTTGGCCTCCCAAAGTGCTGGGATTACAGGTGTGAGCCACCGTGGCTGGCCTCCTCCTGTTTTTTGACATTGGGCAGGCTAACAAACCTCTGTAAGCTTCAGTGACCCCAAATGTAAAACAGCAACATCATCACCTAGTACCTACTCACAGGGACGTTATAAGGATGGAGTGGATCAATACATCTGAAACCCTTAGTGCAGGACAGGGCACAGAGTAAGAACTAATCAAAGCTGTAAACCATCACTATGGAAGTTTTTGCTGGTGCTGCTGCTGGAGGAAAAAGGGCTGGATTAGCAGCTTGGAGATTCCTCCCCCCCCCCACTAGTATGCTCTCCTGGCCAGCAGTCCTATAGCTACCTTTACAAACCAAACAATTGCAAGCTCTAGAAAAACAACCACCTCTTACCTCTTCTATCAGGTTTTGTTTCAATTCCAAGCCTTTCTTGGCAGTTTTGGTTAAGGAGACTAATGAAAACAAGAAGGAAGGAGATGATGAGAGACAAATCTAGATGCACTGGAGACTTCAGCTTGATGCAGCCATGCTGAAAAAAGGCAGCAAGGCCTTCATGGCCATCATTTCTGGCACACAAAGCCATTCCAGGGCCCACGGAATGCCTACTCATTAGCATTCTTGGGCCTGACGATCCCTGGATATAAATCCTGCTATTTAGACAGACTAGGCCTTTCTTAGCTCCTCAGGCTGACCCAAATAACTTGGTTGCAGCGGGAGGGGTGGAGGCTGTTCCTGCTGCTGGGAGTGCTCTTGGTGGCAGACCTCACCTGCCGGTTGAGGCAGGCCTCTTTGTTTATTTTGGCTTTTTTTTTTTTTTTTTTTTTTTTTTTTTTTTTTTTTTGAGATGGGGTCTTACTCTGTCACCAGGCTGGAGTGCAGTGGCATAATCTCGGCTCACTGCAGCCTTGACCTCCTGGGCTCAGGCAATCCTCCCACACAGTTAGGACTACAGACACATACCATTAGGGTCTGCTAATTTTGTCTGGGACCACAGAAATCCACCACCATACCCAAGTGATTTTTCTATTTTTTGCAGAGATGAATTCTGCCATGTTGTCTGGGTTGGTCTCAAATTCCTGGGCTCAAGAGATCTGCCTACTTCAGCCTCCCAAACTTTTGGAATCATAGGTGTGAGCCACTGCACCCAGCCCCTTTCTGCTCTCAACTAGGGTGCAGAGGCCACTCTCGCTGGCCTATGCGGTGAAACGGCGAGTCTGGGGCTCGATCTCCTGTTACGTGTCTGCACTCCAGTTGTGCAACGTAGACTCACAGATGCAGCAGCACCTCTCTAGGGAGGGACATGTCACCTCTTTTTTAAAAATGGCTGGGGCCCGATTTGCCCTCTACCCAGGAAGTTCGGCATTCGCCAGACCTGACCCAGACCCTCTGCACAGAATCAAATTGTTCCAGCATCACTTAAAAGAACTCCAACTGCAAAGCCCCGGGTGCCCTCACAAAGGGGCCTCGGCCTCTCTTCTTTAACCTGCGTGGCACTCAGCCCCTCTTAACAAGGCACCACACAGACAAGGATGATCACACCAGCAAGGAGAGCAAAAGAAATATAGCTGGCCACTTCCCATCATTTCCACTGTTATACCTTGGATCCAAGCCAGCATTGCCCTCTCTTGGATTAATACAGGCCTCACTGCTTCCATCCCTGCCCTCTGACCTGTCTTCCCCAGCTAGTCTCATTCGACCCTTTACAAGTTAAGGTAAATCACGTCAATCTTCTGCTTGAACTCTAGGCAGGAAAGCCAGGGCCTTACCAAGGCTGAGGAAGTCCTGCCCTCTCTGCCTAACCCTCTCCCCCAACTCTGTTTGGCTCCTTCTGTCCAGCCCCACTGGCCTCTTGTCCCAAACATGTCAAATCTGCTCCCACTTCAGAGCCTCTTCACTTCACCTTCCCTCTACTTGGAACAGCATTCTCCCAAGTATTTCTACCGGTGCGCAATTCCACAGGTTGCTCACTTCCTTTCTTCAATTTTTCTGCTCATTTGTCACCTCATCAGTGAGACCTTTCCTGACCACATTATACAAAATATCACTGTCTCTTCACCCCATGTTTACTCAATCTGATTTTTAGCATTTTGTGGAATGTGCTTCCCCTAAAACGTCAAGCTTGATGAGAAATAGGCCTACCTTGTTGTAACTGCTGTATCCTCCAATGCCTAGAAAGTGACAGATCCCTAAATGCTTTTTACTATGCCAGGGAGCGGGGTGGAGAGAGATGC